ATGGCGATAATAGATAATAGAAAGCACAAATGTACGCACTTGTAGGATTTTCTCAATAATGGCAGTAGGTATAAGAATTTTAGAGTGACGTTCTTATTCGTAACAAAAAAATGATTTAAAATAACCTAAAATAACAATCATTCACTTCTCAATCTGAACGATATAAATTTGTAAAGTCAAGCGTTTCGGTTAAAGTGACGATTAGTGGGCCAACTACCTTATGTTATAATTAAATTTACATTAGTTACTCTTATGAAACAGAGAGGAATCTAAAAATAATGAACTTTAAAACTTCTGGAGTATTTGAAAAATATTTTTGTTTTCCTTTCAGAGAATAATTCAGAACAAGATTTCTAAAAAGTTCTGCCTAAAAATGCTATGCATTTATTCATTTAAAGATTAATTACAGATCGTCTAAAGCGAGTCTTAATTTCGTTTAACGTATAATATTTAGTAAAAATGAGAGTCTTACATCTACTTATGGTTCGCTCAGATCAATCCAATTGAGTTAATTCAATGCAGCTCTTATCGTAAATAGATGCAATCATCATGAAAGGCTTAATGCACTAAAATAACGCGCAGATAACTTAGCATGAGTCAGATCTGTTTGCTCATTTGTATTCGGTTATGTAATTTTGCTGAGGGATCATTTCCGCGAATTGAGCGAAATCTCTTATTATTGTAGAGGAAATTAAACGGCGGAATTATCAACGGCGTAGATCAGGACACGTTGTGCGTCCATTCGCTTCCTCTTCCCGCGGACAATCGCGATTTCTTTTTACTCACGCGGAAAATGAGTAAAATAACGCATCCAAATACGGGCGTCCTTCTCACGCGCAGCTAGCCGTATCGGACGTTGTGAGACATCGGCGATTATCGGTCACGTAATCAAAGAGCGATTTGTGAAGAGGAAGCGAGGGGTAGGTTGTAAAAGATAAAAACGCGTCAGTTGCGCCGTAACGTGAACATTCATTTCTGGAATATCGTTGGTGCTACGTAGATTTTGTGCTCAGAACTCAGGTAATGTCGAATCGCTTGGCGAATCAAGAAAAATCCTGTCGTAGTCATCTTCATAGATACTGGAAATACAGCCCAAATTATTAGGTTTTATAAATTTCATAATTCTTAGTATGTAAATTAAAATAAAAATAAAAACTTGCTCGTTTTGTTTGCTTGTTATTTTTAATTATTGAGAGTTTTTAAATTAGTATATTTTTATTAAAAACAAAAAAGTTTGTACAGCTTTATTTATTAATAAATCAATCAATCAATCAAATTAATATTAAATACGAATATTTAATATTTTATTAAATATTCATTTAAAACTTCCCTTTTGTCTTAAAACATTTGCAATTTTTTTTAAAGAACTCTATTAGTTTTTTGTAAATGGATTCTGTCCTCATATTCCATAATCGCAATTTGTGTCTTGCTTCGAAGTGCATTTTTAATTACAAAAATATTTTTCTTTAAGTACACCCATAAATATTCAATCGGTCGAGCTCAGGACTTTGTGGATCGCCAGTCTACGATATTGATTCTATTTTTTAAAAATCATGTCATACTAGGATGAAATTTTTAACACAATTACGCGATAAATTGCAAGAAAATATATACGCATGGATCTCAACTAATTCTAAGAAATTGTTAAAAGGAAAAGTAATTCATCACTTTTTAGAAAACTAATTAATACACTCTAAAAAATATTGATGGATTTAACATATAATTCTCATCATTAATATTAATACCAACACGGTGAAAATTACATAGACACCGTATGGTATTAAAGCCACATGTATATGTTTTAGAGTGTAGGGTGCCTAATAATTTTGGACACGGCTGTATTTTATGTAATTTTTTTCATTTTAGTTCGCGACTTCATCTTATTAAAAATTTTTAATCTTTATTAACTCGCTGGTCCTCTATTTTTCTTATATGTCATATTCTTAATTTGCATCGTTATTTTCTGCATGATAACGTAAATTTCGCTGTCACATCGTCATCAGTGGAAAATATTTTGTATAATTTTTTTCATTACACTTTAATCTTTCTCAGTTTCTTAATTAAATTATTATTAATTAGCTGATATTTCAAATTTACTTATTTGTCGCATTTTTTATTCGCATTATTATTTTATAACATCATAATGTTATCGTAATGTCATTATTACTTTATGATGTCATCGTATTGCACAATGTTTCATAGTCTCGCATGACAGGTGACCAAAGTCGATCAAGGATGAAATCAATTATCGCTCTGATGATGACAATCGCCATCGTACTTTCGACGATGGTCGTGGCGGAGGATGAATACATTCACCTGCCAGGTAATAACTGTTCGGACGCACCGCCTTGTCCCGACGGCAGACCCTGCGTGATGGCATTACCTCATTGCAACAGTGGCACTTGTGGCACGGAGAAGGTGCCGACATGTGGGCCAAAACCCTAAACTCGTGAGCCCGAAGGGAGAACTATGCCGTATCTTCAATTCTCTATACTGTATTCTTACGCTTCTTGTAATTAATAAAAAATGTTGAGAATCGTCGATAGACAATCACTGTGCGCTTAAGCGGTCCTTAGACGATCAATATTATTGCACAATGTTGAACACAAAATAATACATACCGTACGCAAATAATTATTTGTTTCAAGTATTTTAAAAGTTGATATCTCCACAAGTATATGTTAAGTTTATCACTAGCTTTAAATTGATTCAAAATATGATTTTGAATCCGAATGAGTTTAATACTTTAATCATATTAAATTAAAACAAATTCGATTTGCTTATTATATATAAAAGTCTCTTCTTCGATTAATTTTATAAAATATTTTTAGCTCTCAGTTACTGAAGGGGGGGTATGGAATATTCAGAACGTTTGAAAATTGTACAGTATTTGTAAGAACCGTGAGATGAGGGGACTTAGATGTATATATATAAGGAGATAAAAGTTAACTGTTCAACGTATACTTTCCCCTATCTAGCGTCGTCAGTTTGTGCGAAAAAGCGGTAGTAATTATGCTTTTTGTATAAAAAAATTGTGCAATTTCACTTATCGAAATAAATATGCTTGCATGGGCATGTTTTGACATATGTTTTTAACTAAAATATACACCTTTAACAGTTCATTCCTTCAGTTCCTTTATTTTTATTTTACTATATTAAATACTATTAATAATTTTTTTAAAAAGTATATTCGTAATTTTCGTAATAATTCAAAAAATTCACTTTTGTTCGTTATTCTTTTTTTACAATTTATAATTTTTGATAACTTTACTTATATGGGGCTCTTCTTTAGATCCTCCAAAATAAAGATTTTATACATTTACTTTAATCAGCATTTTATCGAAAATTAAGGACACTTGGAACATTGACGGAGTATATTCTTGTGCGATAAAAACAAAAGTAAAAATGTAACAGAGAGTTAAAAAAAATTCTAGTTTCGAGTACATAATAATGAGTTTTTTCTAAAATTTGTAATAAATATATTTTAAGATTATTATAAAAAATATTCTTTGTTAAAAATAACTATTACTTAAAAGGAAGAAAGTAAAGTGAGTAATTACTCTTCTTATCAATAGAATGATATTTTTCTGTGTGTATTGATCATTTGGTATATTCAGCCTCCAAAGATTCTTTGTTTTGAATTGTTTAAAAGAAGGTATCGATATTGTACAAAATATTTGTATAATAATATTGGACGTTTAGGATCGTTTTATAAATACTATATATTTAGGCAAATCCGATACAACTGGACTCTTACGAAGGAATGTTTCATGTTACTACGTCCTCGCAATTTTCGCGATGTTTCATTCACGGAGGATCCTCTCGCTCGGTTAAGGTCAGGGGTGCGCGAGTGCGTGTGTCAGTCCAGCGCAAACAGGGGGACACGACGACCGGAGTGTAATTCAAACAAAAAGCAATCAAGGATTCAATTACAAGGCCGGTCGGCCGTGCGGCGGTTTGCAGTTTCATCGACGAGTAAGGTCACGAGCAAAAGATTCGATTACCGAACTCGCCTTCGGACGCGCCGGACCATCCGCCAGCAATTAATTTAGATATAATTTTTATTTTACTTTTTTCTCTTGCAGGCGAGACGTCCGGAGCGTTTCGTGTGAAGTAGGTACATAAATAAACGCGCGAAGTAATATTCATTTTGAAATGATGAATCGAATCGATTGGCGAACCGCGAAAAATCCTGTCGCGATTATCTTTATTAGGGAACGGAAATATTTTATGTAATTTTTTGTTTTCATCTTATTTCACGATTTTCACTTTACTTAAAAATCCTTATTAATTCGCTGATCCAATTTTTTCCGTATCGCAGATGTCACATTCTTTTTAATTCTCATCGATATTTTCTGTGTAATAACGTAGATTGCGTCTGCGAAGTAACTTTTCGTGTTATCGTAATAAAAAAAAATCAAAAATGCACGCGTGAGCCAGTTACCAGAGGTGCCGAGCAACAGAGAGACCTCCGTGGACCATATAGGGGAGACCGGGGATAGTAGACTCATTTTTTAGTTTCGAATTTTTATAGACGAAATTAAGAGACTTATCGAAAAAATGAATTCTACGCCAGTTACTACATATATTTGACTATCTAATAATATTTTAATAATAAGGAAAAACTGATAATTATTATGAAAAAAATGCATTTTTCTAATGCATTCCATCTGATTTAACTAGCCCCGGGACCGGGGTAAGATGACTGATGGCATAGGGTAATTTGATTAACATTATTAAAATGAAGATTAATAAATATTTTAAGGTACATCTTTGGTTACATAATAACAAAAATTTTATAAAAATGTATTTTAAACACAAACATATTTATTATAAAATAAAAAATGTATAACTTTGTACTAAATGACAATTTATCTAATCCGAATCGTTATCCGAATTATAGTTATAACAAAATAATACGATAAGTTACCCTTTATGTATTTAGAGTACCCACACGCCATGTTCACAAAATTATCCTTTTAATTATTCTTAATATTTTCACATTATTATTACTA